GAGCAGGCGGTGATCGAACTCATGTGGAAGTAGCTTAAGCTTCTTAGTGCAGTGCTTTAACCTGCTGCACCACCAGGGAGGGCCACAACACTCTTACTTTTACTGAAAATTAGCTTTACCAAATATTCCCTCCCAGGAATAGTCTGAAAGTAATTTCTATGCTTAAAGCAAGTGAATTAAAATTCTGAACTAGTGGGGCCCAAATAAATGGGGTTTAAATTTTGTTACTTCCGTTTTTCAAATCTTCCATGTTTAATGAAACTGATATTTTTTCAGACAGCACCATTTCTACTGTCATATTGATCACAATTTTTGTTAGAAATATATTACATATTTAAATGGGTAATTAAAATTTGATTAGTATTGACCCTAGTCTAGTGATAAGAATAATTACCAGCAAAGAATATTCATTAAAAAGGTCATATTGTATACAAGAACAATCTAAAATATGCATGTTAATGGGTAACAGAACTGCCAAATTTTTTCTTTTGTGTCAATAATGATTTTTCAAAACTACCAAGCAATTTAAAATCATTAAGCTGAACTGCATGATTAGCAAATATGTGGTATTATCTAACACTTCCAAATACATAACGCAGTATTTACTGTAAGCCTTCGTAGTTTAAAAAACACCCTTCACTGGAAGATGCAAATTAAAACCACAAAGAGATACCATCTCACCGCAGTGAGAACAGCACATCCTAAAACAACTAGCAACAACAAATGTTGGTGAAGATGTGGAGAAAAAGGAACTCCCCTGCACTGCTGGTGGGAATGCAAACTAGTACAACCACTGTTTGGAGGTTCCTCAAACTGCTAAACATGGAGCTTCCATATGATCCAGCAATCCCACTCCTAGGTATCTACCCAAAAAACACAAAAACACTGATTCAAAAAGACACCTGCCACCCATGTTTATTGCTGCTTTATTTACAATTAGAAAGACATAGAAACAACCCAAATGCCCAAAGTGGATGACTGGCTTAAAAAGATGTGGTACTTGGCCCTCCTTGGTGGCGCAGTGGGTTAAAGCACTAAGAAGCTAAAGCCACATCAGTATGAGTTTGATCCCCACCCTGAAGGTGACCCACATGGCGCAGCAGACCTCTCCTGACCTGCCCTCTGCTTCCCTCAGCAGTGTACTTCATCAGTCTGCCTGTTCTGCTCCCCACTCTGTCTGTGGTGAAGCCTCTCACCGTCCCTGCACCACTGGCCTGTACCCCAGTTCTGTATTCATAAATAAATCAATCTTTAAAAAGCAAAAAGATGTGGTATATATACACAATGGACTATTACTCAGCAATCAAAAATGATAAACACATGCCTTTTGCGCCAACATGGATGGAGCTGGAAGGGGTCATGCTTAGTGAAATAAGCCAGAAAGAAAAGGAAAAATATCGGATGGTTTTACTCATAGCAGGAGTATAAAGGACCAGGGGAGAAAATAATAATAATAATAAT